TCGTTTTAATTTACATAGCAAAAGTGAAGTCTTCAAATATCCCATACAAATTTTGTTATAAATTTGAATTGAAAATAATTTTTCTATTAACACTGGCAATTTTCCGCTCCATTTGCTTTTTAATTTCAGAGATTATTGACTTGTGAATTCATTTTTTTTTATCGAGCGGACATTGATGGTCCTAACGAAGAAGTAATTTCCATAATTTTTTAAAATATAAGTGAATTCTATTCTTTTTCTGTAATTTCAATTTTCCTTTTAAGGATTGAACGCCCAAGAAAAAAATTAATAATATAAGTGAATATGTGTAAGAGAAGGAGGAGAATGTCTTGATTCTTCATACCAGAATGTCACATGAATTTTGAAATTTTGAGAGAAATCTTAGAAGTGTATTAGTTTAAATCGCGTTAATTCTGTTTCGTGTTTCAAGGAAAATGATTTTTAGCAGTACGAAAGACGATGTCGATTACCTTTAGCGGTATCAATCGTTCCTGCAGTAACAGTTGCTGCCTGGCATGTATTGCCGGGCGATGGACCGACAACGCGATATGTAGTTGTGGACGTGACAAATAATACCGAGTGGGATGCTGAATTAACTTATGGGAAAGATCGAGTGATCGGCGTACAGCCTAAAGAGTTTTGCAGGTAATGTCGATACGAATACTTAGTAGAATGATAATTGTTACGGTTTTGCAGAGGTATTTTTTGAGTTGCTTCAACTACTTTGATGATGCTTCTTGATCTTTTATGTTACTGCTGAACCTTGATGCTTCTCCATTATAGCATTTAGCAGAAAGAAAAAGTCAATGATTTGAAGTTTGCATTAGATTTCAGATGCAGATATTTTCCTTTCCTTTCCATTCTCACAAAAATCTGGTTATCGACATAACTATAAAGTTAACTTGGGAAAATTTGCAGCCTTTATTCCTTCAACTTTTTTATGACTTTGCCATCTTTTTTTTGCTTTTTCAGAGTACCGCTCCTATGCAAATGTTGTTCCGAAGTAGCATCGAATGCATTTCAAGAAGCAGCTAGCCGAACATCTCATATGATGCAAATGCAGGAAATGGAACGATTACGGCAAATTCTAGAACGTCATGTATCTTGGCATCTGGATATTCGTTGGTCTATCTCCAGTTCAAATCTTTCAGGATCAGTACCCGTCGGACCCTTGCTTTCTTCTGTTTCACTCCTCAAACAGCTTGTTGTACCAGTTATTTCTGTTCGTAAGTATTTTCTTTATTGATCAACGAATGTTCGACTGAAGATTTATGCCATCTAGTTGGTTAGGAACAAATAATATTTCGTTTAACTGATCGCTTATAAACACGGATGGATACCAATATGTTAGTTTTGGATTACAGGTGGATTCTCAATAAATGCTTATTTCATAAGAAAAATTTTTTTGTAGGGAGAAGTAAATTTTTAAATATCGCTTTCTCTAACTACTCGCAAATGTTGCTGAGAGTAGCATTGAATTCAAAGCTTAAAATTTATTCGTTTAGTATTATTTTTGTGACATTATGTTGATTACGCTTTTAGAGCTGCTGAACCATGTAAGCATAGTATCAATATGTCTTTTCCATTAAAAATTATCAGCTATAGCAGAACATTCTAATAAAGAGATGAAGTCGGGAATTTCTTACTGCTGTCAGAAAATAAAATAGTGAAACTGTTTGCTATCTTTGATTTAATTTCCAAAGTTTAGAGGCTAGTGTCAATGGAATCCTGTTCATGAGTGACGATGAAATTGCTGTTGGTATTGGTGAAATAGTCGACCTCACTTTAAGTTTAATTACTCCTACAAACGGTAACGTTCGCAAACTTAAAGCTTGTTCAGTCTTTGAAGCTGATAATAATTTTATCTTTGCAGCTTTACAAAGTATAGAATGAGTGAGTTCGTAATAAATTGGCCTGGGATTTTTGTCACAAAATATTTTTGAAATTTTTAGATACTCGTTCATTTAGTGGTTTAATACAGCTTCAGTGCTACCGTGATTTGCAAAATGGATCCTTTATTGAAAGTAATGACAATATGATTGTGCTAAATACTGAAAGTATACCTTTTCGAATAATGCAGGTATTTTATATTGCTTGCTTTGTATAATCCGTAATTTTCTTTTAATGTCACAATTATAAAAAAAATAAATCTCTGCAGCATTATTTGCTTTTTATTCTATTGAAAGCCTCAGGAATAATCAACATTTTCCTCTTTGTTCCAGGCTTTTTTGATATGTATAGATGAATTGACAATTTTTGTGACGGAAAACATTTTTGAGATTAATTATGAATTTAGCAAGAAGAAGTGGTTGAAACAGCTACTGCATCACCTTCGGATACTATCTCAATCGAAAATGATTATGCACCGATAGCAGCTGCTAATTTCAATAACGAACTTGTAGAACAAGTGATAATTCGGGAAACTTTTCATGCTAATTTCCAACTTTTATTTCGCCATGAAGGAGCGCATAAGGTATTTTATTTTAAATATAAAAGACTGAAATTTGAAAACTGTCATTTCTAAAAGGAAAGAAATAGAGAAATTTGAAAGGTTTTTGTTACAGATCAGGCCGCTCATTATTCTGAACGATAAATCACCCATAATTTCGCCAGATGAATTATTTTATTGTGCCATTTCGTTTAATGTCATCACGAAGGCTTCATAATATTAATCCGTTATCTTCAATGTTATCACGAAGGTTTTGTAATATTAATACGTTACCTAATATGCTGTGGGTCATTTGTATATCCTTTTGTTTAATGTAAATTTCTGTGATATTTCACAAAACAATGTAAATATTTTGCTCAGTTTGACTATTCGACACTAGGTAACAACTCTGCATTGAAATAGAACATTGAAAAGCAGTCAGTATTGGTTTCAAGTAAGCTGGCACAATATCAAGTTAAGAATAACAAAATTCTGTATAATAATAAACTGTGGACGAAATTCTTGCTCAAATTTTCAATTCTGTTAGAATTAAGTGATTCCAATTTCTAATGAAAATAGACAATTTATGAATGTCTTTGATATATCCAAATTCAAAACGTTGTAACAGCACAATTAGATATCAATTAGATGTTGAATGATTTTTCTAACATTTTGGAAATTTTCCAAAACTAAAAATCATAATATCTAGGATGCAGGAGAGTGAATTTCAAATTAAATTCACGAATTAGAATCACTGAAGAAATCTGCAATAAAATTTTATAGCGGATTGAGATTCTGTTCAACTGGCTTAGCGCACTTACGGAATTTTCGAACGATGATGTTAATGGACGACATATATGTAATAACGATGATGGCGTCATCCAAAAGCAAAATAGAACTGGGAGTAAGAAAAAACAAAACGTGGAAAATTAGCGGAAGGCGATGTTCAAGTGGAATTTGAAATTCGAAATTTCGATGGAATTCACTCTCACTTATACCGTTTAGCGATGGATTATTTTAGCAAATTCTATTGAAATAATAAAATAAAAATCCTATTTGTTTTCTAAATTGTGCATTGTTAATTCAAATGAATTGGAAGCTGGCTGTTTCCGTTTTCCAAACTTTCTTAATTATTTCTATGACCATGCACTCACAAATTAGCATTTATCCGAGATTAGATAAAAGCAAATTGGGCATTATCGTAGCCAAGTATATTTCAGACTTAAAAATTTGCAAACATGACGAAGTTTAAAATTGTTGACAAATATTTCATGAAGACTAATTATTTGTATGAAAGATTTATTGCAGTAAAAGGATTTAACTTCAAGTTACAAAATGAATGGTATTATCAAAAATGCATGCTGGATCAGAATTGAACCATATCATCGTAGAGCTCTCATAGTGGAACATGGAATATGTAGAAAAATTTGTAAGAAATCAACTAAACAGCTCAAAATTCTTCAAGCTATATTCTGTAAAAAGAAAGTAGGAGCAAAGATCAAGTATGATTTCTTGGTGAGTTTTTCATTTTCACTTTAAATGAATTCCGAAAATCAAAAGCATCACATGCGAAACTCTTCTTTAGAATATCCGTTATATCCTGACAGATATCAAATTTCTTGGATCTTGAATCGTGATATTGAAGGGTGCTTTGCTATTTCCCAGTGGAAAGTATCACTGAAGAAGTGATACATGGGTAGAATAATAAATGAGTTATACTGAGTAAGCATTCTTAATTATTATGAATTGTGGATAATTATGGTCAATTACGAAAGTTTTTAAATCGCGATTGTTCAATGCAATTCATTTTTTTTTTTAAATAACAATTTTGACGTGACACTTTTCATTAATTCCGCTTCCAATGTTTTTCATCACTATTTGACGTCGTTATTTCAAAAAAAAGAAAGCCGCAATGCATATTTTCTTCATTCTGATTTACACCATCTATGGAGTAGAAGAAAGAACGACAGTAATTATTTAATTTAGATTGAGAATTGTTCGCAAATATTCAGACAACATCAAGTATGCCTTATTCAAAACATCTACTACGATAATTCATCAGATGTTTTTCCTGTACAACTTAAACTTCATCTATGTCGAAAACGTTAAATTATGTGGAGAATTTTACAGCAAACAAGTGTTGTAACATCTACTAAATGGAATAAAGAGAATAATATGGAAATAATTAATTTCGTATTATATACATTTAATTGTATCATTGCATATTAATTATATTTAACTTGGAACAACTCATCAGGTTTATTTAAATGAAGTAAAGTAAACAGAATAAGATCATTATGTATTTGATTTATCAAGCAAAAAGGCATAAATTGGCAGCTTTTACTCCAAAGAGGAAACAAAAGAGGACAATAATTGGTAACAAATATGAAGATTGATTGATGAACATTTGGCATTGATGAAGTATTGATGAAGAATGTTTCCGCTTTTTAGCGGTTTTGACATCATCTTTTCATGCACATTACTGATCTCATCTGAACGAGAATAAATGCATAAAACAGGATTTTTTTCACTTAATTATCAAATAAAAATTCTGGAAGAAACTAAAGTTAATTGAGCTAAATCATCATATTAACAAGTACAATATGCAAAGTTGATGGTTACAGATCTAGAAATCCTAACAAAAATCTAAAAAGAATTTGACTTGAACAGAAAAAATTTTTCAAATTCTAATGTAAGTCACGGAAATTTGAGCTACATTAAAAATAAAGAAAAATTTTTTAAAAGAAATTCTAGCGGGTGCAAAAATGTCAAAGGTAGTTTACTGGGATTGAAGAATCAATCTAATAAAATTCTAAAACCAAATAGTAACGACGTTCAACTGAAAGTGAACGAAATATCCGATATCAGCTATCAGATCAATGTAAGCAATTGCATCAAAATCCGAAAATATATATCGACAATTTTAATCAGGACATTTTTTTTTTGACAAAATTCATTCTAATAACTTTTCTTAAATACAAGATTGATATGAAGTCAGTAAGATAAAGCAGATGAATGCCCATATAATATGCGGAAACAATATCATCAATATCGGAAAAAATTGAGCATTCAAAATGTTTTGAATGAATAACGGGAAAATCCAGCATAAAAAAAACAGGAAAATTCACTTGAAAGCACAATTACATCTATCATAATATTAACGAAACAAAACTAATACAAACAAAAAAAAAGAGGAAAAGAAATTAATACCTTACTATGGTAGCACAATTTTAAGGAAAAGAAAATCGTCGTTTATTCAGAAATTAAAACATCAATCTTTGTTTGGATTTAATAACCAATTGTAATTTAAATAAATTAGTAGTACTCAAGTTGAGAGTCAAAATTTCACATCACTTCAATGATTTGGCGTTAAATTTCCGCTTTCTTGTATTTATTCATACGATTCAAATTCAGATTTACAATCCAAAAAATATGAAATTACTCGAATTTGAAATCCTAAATTTAAGTTGGATCGTTTAAAATACAAGAGAATTCTGTTTTAAAGAAGTGAAAAATTGGAAGATTTATTACGATCAAGTTAAAAGATGATAAACATTCACATAACCTGACGATTTCGGTGGTAAATTCATTCTTAATTGAAAATATGTCCAATTCTTGTTTGTGCAGCAGAAGAATTAATATTTCGAAAATACCGTCCAGAATCGACCCTACCACTGCTCTCTGCATCCATCCCCGCATATGGTGATTCAAATATTTGTGGGTTGACGAGCGCATATCCATAAAATCTGCAAAACTAATGTAAATCAAAACATATCAAACAATGTTGCATATATTTGCATTCTATAATCGTTTTAATAATTGTCTAACGAAAAATTTGCATAATCTTATTAAAATAGTAGTAAAATTGCAGCTAATTTTATGTTACATATAAAATCCTCATGATTTTTGAATTTAATTTCAGCCAACAAATTAAATTTACAAAGTGTTATAAAATTAATTTTGAAAAAGACTCGAAGGAAAAAGAAAAACTAAACTGATAAAGAAAATATAAATACAAAAATTTCAAATTTACTACAAAATATTAAAAAAAAATTGATTAAGAACACATCAGAGCCAAAATTTCAAAAGTTAATTACGAAGTGAAAAGATAAAAATTGAAAAAGTGGAAAAAATTACCCTGAGTCAATCCTGTAAGGTTGATCGTAGTAACGTTTTGATGCTTGATAATAATATGGATTTTCGTCTGTTGACCAATAAATCGATTGTTCCTCCATCTGTCGAACTGGTGGTGTCTAAATCTCGATGAAAAATTTAAAATTTTAATTTCATTACTTTTTAAGGAATGAAGTACAAATATTTTCAGCAAAGTTGATGCAGTCCAGTCGACCATACTTAATAGAAATATTCTTATTCGATCACCTTTGATAAAAATATTCTTATTCTAATTTAAATAATTGAATTTTGCGAGTTGTTAATTTAGTGTATATCCACAAAAGTCATTTCAGGAACTACCGAAATTCATATTCGATGACTAACACCAACAGAAAATAACCACTGATAATATGTTATCTTCGTTGCAGAAGATTAGTTGGAGTCCGAAATCAGATGAATAATAAAGATCTTTCGAAAATCATGAATTATCAATTGATAATAAATATTTAATCTTTACTCAACTGCTACAAAAATTTAATCACCTGGAGTTGTGGACTGACCAATGTCCGTAGAGTACCATAGTTGTTTTCTTCACACAGTACGATGGTTGATGTGCTGCTTGCGGGTCTCTGATTCACTGCGTATAGAAAACTAAATCACAATTAAAATTTTCATAAAAGTTGAAAGATGTTAATTAAATTAGGAAACTTCAATTAATACCAGTTTAAAGGTGAGTGAAAAAAAAACTTTTTTTTTGAACTGATAATAAACTGCGGAGAAAAACAACAAGCAAGTTATACATTAAACAAAGTGCAATTTCTGAATCTTTCGAAAGTCATGAATTATCAATTGATTGCTAGTTTTAGAACTTCTTTGAAGCTTCAAAAAAAAAATTCTGTAACATTCGAAATGGATTTCGTATTTTTCTATCAATCATCAAATTAATTTTTGAACTAAAAAGAAAAGCTAGAAAATGGCTAGCACCATAATTCTTCTTTGAAATTTCGATGTCTATATTAAATAAAAAAAAAAAAATTTCAATATTTGCTAGCAAAATCGATAAAAGTGGTAAAAATTTAGTCTCATTGACTATCTAATCTTTCTTTCCTATTTCTAACAGTGCAAAAAAAGTTTTTTTTTTTTATCAAAAGGAAAATCAGAAATCAAACCTAACGACAGCAAACGCTGAACAAAATGAGCAAGTAACACATGCAGCAGTGGCACAAGCAGTTAATATTAATGCCACTTCAATAATCCATCGAAATTCCTCAACTGTAAACAACATCGCCGCCTAAATTACATTCATAAAATTAATACCAGAATTAATACATCATAAAATTAATGCAATTGCCTAAAAATGGTACAGAATTATGTGAAATAGATATTGAATTTCCTAAAAATAATTAAAATTAGAAGAATAAAATTGAATACCAAGAAGTAGGTGTTCGATATTGCATAGCTAACTATAAACAAAGCTATCGATCCAGCTATTACATTTAGTATGATTACAGAAAGTAACAATGCCGGAAAACATAATGACAATGCCTAAATAAAACATTCATAGTGTAGTAATAAAATAACACAATCATACAAAATATAGTAATAAAGTAATAAAATCATACAATCATATAAATGGAAAATGCTACATAGTGGTAAAAGCATAAAATATTCAATATCGACTGATTTCTAATATTAACAAAATACAAGTAACTCAGTACCTGCAAGATGGAAATGCCAAATACCAGTAGACCATTGCCCATTTGGAAGTATGGAATTTCGACCAGTGATTCAGAAAATCGCCAATAACCAAGTGTGAATACAACATGACAACCAATCAGTACTATGCCGTAGAACATATTGCCCAGAAGCAATATTATATGCATACCTCAATTCATTGATATTATTATTCTTATCCAACTGATTATAATGCTGCTCAAAAACCAATCAAAAAATATGAAGTTGAAATTTATTTCGCTATTAAATATCACCCACTGTACTACTTCCATTAACTTTATTATACATTTTCTTCTCCTGGCTTTTGTATTTCAACTGAACAACAAATGTAGAAATAAAACTATACTGTTTTTCACGCTTCGTACGACGTAAGATTCTGTATTATTTCAATTTTAGAATTTCAATTAAAATAACTATATTTCAATTATTCGGTGTTAATATAACAAAGAAGTTAATGCTAACATGTGGAATGCTTTATTGCGCGGCGATATCGTTGTCTCAGTGCACTACCGTATATAATTAGGGAAAATAATGCCGTAAGAGACCCCAAAAATAGGATCTGAAATAGCAATGAATTTATGTTTGTTGCTTTAAAATTTGTAGAGAAAACGAAATTTCCAATAAATTTCAGTCTTATATATTACTTTCATTCGTTTATATGTACTATAATGATATTAATTTGAGTTATAAACCGATTAGAGTAATATTTTACAGATGATATCATTTGATTTTAAATTTGATTCACAGAATGCTCGAATAAAATAGCAATTAGCAATTAGATATCAGTGAACTGACAAGTTAATTTGTCATTTATATAACTTTTATCCATTTTAAAAGATGAGTTCCTCATCATTTTTATAATGCAACATTATTTTTAGAGATTTGTTATCATTATTTTTTTATCAGTTTGTATGTAAACATAAATAATCATATTGATAGGATTTACCGCAAGTTGTATGGAGTGCAAAATCAATCGTCCAAAAAATGCATCCTTGGGACCGTGAATAAAAGCGGGATAAGTTGCGGACTGATATGTGAGATTGATACTTGCACACATCTTTTCTAGGGAGCATGTAAAACAGATAAATTCAAGCAGAAAATGAGTTGATAATTGCGAGCTACAATAAAAACGAATTAATTATTTGATATGATGACGTTAATATAGTCAAGTTAATTATTAGCTATGAATCCGACTACATCTGAACAGTATTGGAGTAGAAAATACATTCTTATGGTACTATAAATACTTAAGAGAAGAGAAGTTGATCGATAATCATCCCATTTACATTGGCTCTCATTTTATTCAATGACGAATTATAAAATACATAGCAATTCTTAATGAAAAAGAATTTAAAATTAATTCTATGAAGCAAATAATTTAAACTCGAAATCATTTAAAAAATTACCCAGAATATGTTATGCATAATAGGCCTGTAGCGAAGAACAAGACTGCAAGCCACATTAAATCAGCGCCGATATAATTAACATTCCAGGAAACATCAACCAGTCCAAGTACCACAAGCGCTATCAGTAACAATCCCCAGATAAAATGCAACAACCCTAAGCATCTGCAACAATTATTGAATCTTTTTAACCGATTAAAACCAATTTAATTAGCTCATCTATTAGTTATTTAACAATTTCAAATAATAATTTTCTCTATCCTATCATAAATTAAAAATTTTTTTTACTTCTTTTTTGTTTTCCTCTTTTTAATGTCAATTTCAGTCACTTTCGTTCAATCTTTCATAGTCGAATAACATTTCAGCCAAACAAAATATTGCTTTAGTTAAACGGAGCATCAAAAATTATGTGAGCATATGAGAAGTAATTAAAACTTGAAAAATAATGCAAACGAACCTGCTCTGGAAAGCGAAATTCTTTTGGATCATCGAATTTTCGTTACAATATTCGTATCGAATACATTTACTAGCTTGAACAGCAGATAGCAAATTTAAACCGAAAAGTAAAGCAAACAATGCCACTAAAATACCTTCAATAATGACGATGAAGTAAGTTCGATCTGCCATGTTGCTGTTGATTGATAGTGCTATAATTGGGAACAATATCAATAACCTGAGAAAGAGTATCATGTCTCCTCTTCTATCAAATGTATTAGAAGTGACAGAAAGAGGGATATGTGGAGAGAATGTAATTTTAAAATTTGTTAATTTCACAGTTCGTTACTTTACCAGAAAATTTTTTTCTTTGAAGAAAAAGGACATGAATTATTGTAAAACAATGTAGTGAAGATATGAATCCGACAGAGGTGAGAAGAAAAAACTTCAACTCGTTATGAGGAAAAATGGAAGAACTAACGTTGAGTTCCATTTCGAGTAATTGCGCTTATTCCTCGCCATCTCTGAATATCATTATAATAATAGGGGTACATTTCAATATCCAATAATTTAAGGCACCAAACTGCTGCAATCACTGATACTCCGATGGCAACCTGCAAATCGATTCATCCTATTAATTATAAACTAAGTTCTTCATATCTGACAATATTTGAAAAACACTGCCGATAGATGCACATGCAATTAGATATTCAGGAATGTAAAAAAGAAAATAATACTTTATAATTAGCTACAGGTTGTCTGTTGATGACAGCTGAATGCAAGTCTACAATTGCGCTAACAATTGCCAAGAGTGCAGCAATATGGTCGAGAGCGATCAACACGAATGGATCTTGATTTGATAACTGAAATAGCAAATGCAGTTGATAATCAAACTAGAAGTGAAAATAAAAACTGAACTGTTTTGTCGGATTACTTAGAGAATTCAGATTTGGAAAATTTTAACCTATATTCATTGGTAACAATTAACATGATATTAAATGAAAACTAACCATTTGATGCTCATACTCGAGCAAAATAGCTAAAGTTAGAGCGCATAGTGCCAAAAATAATTTTATTGCAGCAAACGTAGTAAGGCCTATACGATTTGTACGATATTTCTTATTCTGGTCACGCTAAAAATCATAATTTTTTAAATTTAAACCCTTACAAACCTGCTAAAAATTATTCCTCTTTTCACCGCACAATTTTAAATATTATAAGAATTGTATTGCCAAAACAAAAAAAAAACGGTGCAGGATTTTCTCATAAAAGAAGAATTAACTTGAAAAACCCTGAATAGAAAGAGGAATTCCGAAAGGTCGAAAAGGTCAAATGAAAAGTTTGAAAAAGATTCATGAATGATACCTCTAAGATTCAATAAATATAAAGTTATCTAATAACTACTCACGGAATACTGTGGCCAAGTAGGTTGGCTAACGACGACAAGACGGTCAAGAAGTGCAGCAGCGACAAGTGCTGCTAAGCAAGCAATGATCGGCACTAAAATCATAAGAGAACAAATGACCAGCTTAGCCGTAAAATTCTCCCTTATATCATGTTGCATTTGATTTTGATGACTGGCTAGTTCATCTATCGATGCACCGTGCAGATACACTATCTAAATAATACTTGCAAAAGTTAAATGATATCGAAAGGATGAATATTTCCCACTTGATATTCCCCTTTAACCACTTCACATATTTAAGTATAACAATTAACACTTAAAAAGATTGTAAAACTTTTTCCCCCTTTTCTGTCCCATTAGCTTTTTCAAATATCCTCTGGAAATTATCATAATTACCTCGGAAAGTGTAACACAGTAGAATGCTGTGGAATAGATGGCAACAACAATTGATACACAATGCACTGTCTTGGCTACAACAATCCCATGATTACAAGACAATGTATACAAGCCTACTAGACCAGAAAGTACATAAATCCAATTTAGCAGTCGCAGATCAATCTTCCTAAAATATAGCTTTTCTAACTTTTATTATTCGTTAAGTAATTGTAAGATACGACTAATCCAAAGATTCTGAAAAAAAATTAAAAATTGAAACTTTATACATTTTTATTTTTTATACAATCCTTCAATTACTTAACATCATATACGAGAGATACGATTTTTGGTGACATTACAAACTATCAACTCTTCGGATGATGTTGTTACAAAAAAAGACAATTTACCGGTAATTATTGAGAGAAAAATTCGAAAATTGACTAGCAGCAAGGCCTACCGCTGTAAGACCGGCTATAATCAATATGACATTGCACGCCTGAAAAAAATATTCCCATAAAATAGAAAAATAAATAACTAATCAGTTTCTATTTTGTTTCATTAGATTTTAAAGTATGCATAATATGTATAATTGCCATATGTTACATTCAAAGAAGTGTAAAAATGAATCAAAATTTAAGTCAATTTAAATGAAACAGCATAATTTGGGATCATTCAATCTAACTGTAAAAACTAGTTTTTCCGACTATTGCAAATGAGAATGTTAGAGGCTTATAGTTGAATATTGTGATGTTAATGCTACAATCACTTATATTTATAGTTTGCTTTTTTCATAAAATTGTAAAAGGGTTCATCTTATAATAACTATAATTTTCAATTCAAGTCCAATTGAAGATTGAAAAGTTAAGAATTAAGAGATGGGAATATTTTGAAAGCCAACTGTTGAAGATTTTTAAATGAATGAACCTGTATTTGGCAAAAATATTTGGAACGCGCCGTCATTATTCCAGAAGTTCGTTAATGAAGAAAAAATTGCAAAATAAATTCGCTGATAAAGAATGTAACAACGATAAAATTTATTGGTAGCAAATAATTAAAATAAATTAATATTGACAGTAGCAGTAAATATTAATAGCAATAGTAATATGTATAATAATAATGCTGTCAGTGATAAGTAGCAATAAATATTATGACAGCTGACAGAATTTGTAATGAATAATTTGGGGGTAATTTTCAATGCAGCATAATTATTCCCTATGACTAAGTTTTCTCGACCTATAAAGTATATTTGTTTCCAAGGAGTTATAGCGGAAAATATATAAAAGTCAGTTAGCGATGTTAAAAAATGAAGTTAAAATGCTATCATTTCAATTCAAAAAAAAAAAAACAGATATTAAAATATTGCAACATAAACAGCTTGTAATATTTGAAATTATCAATAGTTATTTCGTAATCTCGTGACGAATTCCAAATCTTACAAAATACATTTGTAAAATACATATAAAATAACAGTTGCATAAAAAATTTTTTAACCTGAGCTGTTATCAATGCTTTCATTGATGACAAATAGTATCCAGCACAACAAATGAATTTATTTGCTTGCAGTAAAGAATTGAGAATAATATGGACATAGCCTATGAGATAAATTCCATGAGAGCACATAGAGAATTATCCTAGAAGAGAGAGTATAAGTATAAAATTAAGCATCAAACATGTTTATTGTTAATATTCCGTGTTTAACAAAACTACAATTTCCATTTTGAAAAATTAAAAGAAGAAAAAATTAAAAATTTTGGTAATTATATTAATGTGTGACAAAGTAACAGTCAATAATGGCTGATAATAGTTCAAAATGGAAAAGCAAAAATTATTGAAAACTGCATGATTACTATGCGTTAAATTCTATGACTTCTGTTACTGTTAACTGTTTTAGTTTGCTGTCCACACCAAATAGAATTTATACTACGAAAAAACTGGTTAAAATGAGGGAGTGAGGGAGAGATGAATGGAATGAATGGTACGATTTATTTCACTTCAATATAACATAAATTTTCACTAACATCCAACGAAGCGTTTATGTATGAAAAATGGTGAGAGAAGTAAGTTATGCTCAGATGATTCGAAATAAACAAAATTTTATGCAATATCATTTGTATGTGGGAAATGAATGAGGAGAATTTCAAACAGTGAATTAGTCCCATTAATTGAGGTCAAACTTTTTGCAACATATTAGATGGAACGTATTAGAAATTTCAAATGACTATTTAATTTGGATCTTTCCTGATTAATGCACATGAAGTAAAATGACAAATAGAAATATTAATTGAATATATTTAAGAATTTGTATTAGTTTTAGATAACCAGAAGTTCATCGTTACGTTCCATTTGAAATTACTGTTTTTTTTTTCTTTTTTTTAAAAAATTAAATCCATATCTATGTTTTTTTTCGGGAAATTAAAACGCCTTTTTGTTTTTTTCTTTTTAGAAAATTAAATTCATATATATGGGGGATATAATGAGGCCTTATTAAGGAGTTGAGAGATGAACTGAAAGTGCTAGTAAAACTATTAGTGATAGGTAGCATCAATACAAAAAATATTAGAGGAGTATTTGAGAAATTCATAGATTTAAAGCAACCATTGATTTTTCAAATTTTTACACTAAAATGAAAAATTTTAATCTGAAAAATTTCAATCTTTCAGTTTACTGTATAAAATTCATTGTGAACAAAAGGATTGATATGTAAGAAACTGTGATATTATTGGATCTCTATAAAAAGTCTCGAATTAGCATGATAGTTTAACTGTTCAATACCATTCACACACTTGCTATCCCTCTCTCAAAAAAAACTTAATATTGTGCTAAATCATTCCACGGCTGGATAAATTATTGGTGAAAGATGCGAATAAATAAAAGTAAACCGGTTTTTACATGAAATCTGGACATGAATACAAACATATTGTTTCCAACTAATTAGCATAGCAAACAAGCAGTTTCGGTAAATAGTAATTTACCTAATAATTGTAAAAAATAAACTTATTTAAAATAAAATAGAGTTTTTAAATTTAATTCATTTGCCGCAAATAAAATTTTTCAAGGTAACTCATCCAAACATTCTGAGGTAGAGTATTTAATCATAGAAGGAGCAAACTTTCATCTTCGATAAAGTGATTGAATCATTTGCAAGCATTCAGTGAAATGTTCACATCTCTAATTTTTAAGAATTACTTAAAAAATTATTATCTAATCCAAATCTGTTATATGCTTAGTGCACAAATTTTTTTGATAGCTATACAACAAAAAAGTAATTTGTTTTCGTGCATTTAATTTTATTGATATTGAAATATGAAAGTGCAATTGTTTCATTTGCTTTAATAATACATTACTTATTGCTAGAATTGATTGGTTTGAAAATTCAGCGTAATGAATTTCCCAATATACTTAAATCACTGAAGAAAGTGACAACATCCGCCGTTTAGCTATTTTTCTAATCTATCCGCCAGTGATATTACCAGTAAAATTACAACAAAATATAGTTCTGTTTCTTTAATTTAAGTAGTAATAATTAACAAATGTGGTCAGATCTAAAGAGCATTCGTATTCCTTTACTTAATAATTACTTCAACTGCCGTTATTTCTAATAGCATTGAGAATTTGAGAGAGTTATACATTATACTCCCTCCAATTGAACTATTCATAACATAACAAACTGTGTTATGAAAATGTTTCACTTGTAATTTTATAATATCATCATGGAATGGAAGTAGAAATAAATAGCAAGAAAGAAGTGAAAGAGATGAAAAGAAATGATTACAAAAAAAAAAAATGCGAATGGAATTTCTGTCATTTCATTTCCCGAAACAAAATGATCATTCTCCTGAAAAGGTCTTCTTTTTGTTGGAAAAATCTTTATCTGACAAGCACACAGAAGCCAATGAATGAAATTATTTTCATTAAAATACTTGTATTGGTGAGATACAGGTTGGAGTAGAAAAATGGTGACATTTGATCGTACTTACTACTTGAAGAATGATTGACTGTCTGCTAACATAATGCTAAGATAACAACTGCAATAACTCTTTCGCCATCTATCACACTTTGCTCAATCATCGACAACAGTATTGACAACAGTATTGAAGTTGTTGCTGTTGACTTCTGTTGATGTCTACGCACAATTCATATTGATAAGACATATAATATTAGTGATAAACAACCATATAGACAGACTTTATCAGCTGATTACAGTAAAAAGAACTTGATGAAATAATTTCGTAATTTATCCAATTAAAAACTGCAAAAAAATCTAATCCACTGCTTGCAACAGTAAATAAAGTGACAACAAAGCTGTTGCTGTTGATGATGATGATGATGATGATGATAATTTTATGAAAATCATATTAATAAAAGCTATAATATCAGTGATAAACAATTCTAAACATTTTAAAATTGGCTATAAATCGATAAATAAATGACTGAAAAAAAAATTATCGTTCTCGTATTCCTCCTCAAAAAACCCTATAACCTAATAACGATCAAAAATTTCAAGCAAATGATAAAAGAGTAAATAATGCACAAAATAACTTAAGAATAGAAATTATGGTTCACAAACATATGTAAAATAAATGACTTAAATACAAAAATAGGATATGTGTGTAAAAAAATGAAGGAAGGTAGTATGTGTGTGTGTGTGTGTGTGTGTGTGTGTGTGTG